TCTATAAAATTGCAGTGAACGAAGGATGTCTATTCCAGACCAAATGACTGGTAAAACCAAGTGCAGTATATAAGCTGTGAGCCTGGAGATATCTAGATCAAAGCTTACCTCTGCCATGAACTCAGTAGGTGGTCTTCTTAGATAAACTACAGTTCTCCTGGTCTCAGCTCTCTATCTGCAATACAGTATAGGAATAATAGTAACCTACATTACAGGGCTGTTGTAAGATTTCCTGAGTTTAAGTCAAATCCTTTTAATATCTGAAATGTGCAATATTAATATTTAAAGCATTATTGTGAGGCAAAACCCACCTATAAAAACCAAGTATTCTCTTGCAATAAAACCATGTTTAGCCACATTGACTGCAATGAGACTAAACCAGATTAAGTGTGGTATGTGGATTGTAGCCTCAGGCAAAGAAGCCATCCCCTCCAGCTACAGGAATAGGAATAAGCATCTGTAGGGACTGCATGGGGAGGGGGGTGCAGATAAAAGATCCAAAGCCTTTGTGTCTTTGTGTTTCAAAGTAAAAGATTCTCATCCCCAGCTAGACTCTCCAGGATCAATTTGTTGTTTGATGATGAAAGAGCAAACCGTACATGGCAAAGCCCACCATAGCCTCCCCAATGGCCTTCTCCTTATTTCTTGTTCCTTCTCCCAACATTTACTCTCTTTCCTCTTCCCCCACCCCCTCAGGCATTCCTCTCACATATTCAACAACACTGGTTGGATAGAGGTCAAAACGGGCTGACAGGAGCCTTTTTCCTGGGATGTGACAAAAGTTCAGCCTGCCTCAGGACAGTTTACAAAAAGCAAAAGTCCTCGATCTGTTGGAGCTGATCCCCATAAGAAATGGGCTTGTGTACTTGCCAAATTAATACTTTTGAATATCTAGGGTGCTGCAGCTGATGTGTTCTGTGGGGCTGGGATGTTCTGGCTTTAAGGAGACACACACAACAAATAAGAGGTTTCTGGAACTTTACCTTTTCCCAAGGAGATTCCGATGTCCTGTTGTGACTTCAAAACTACAACAAGCCTTACAAATCAACCAGGAAGCCACACCTTCTCCTCTACAAGTCCATATCTGCAATCCCAGATGTTTTCGTGCTGATGGTGATTTTTCAGTTGTGCAAGAGGAGGAGAAGAACTCTGCACATGTTCAGAAGCCCTCAGCCATGTCAGAGCTGAGACCTGTGTTTCAAACTCTGGCGAGCCTTGGCTCAGATTAAATCCTACTGAAGAAGAACTCATCTTAGCCCTGCCACAAACAAAGTGACATAAAAGATTGTGTGAGTTTATAACAAGAGTTGATCACTTTTGGTCTGATTTTACTGGGCTATCGCTCCTTTAGTGAAAGATCAGGAATAGGTAGGGAAACATTTTAGGAGTCATAGAAGGTGTAGGTAGAGTGATTAGGAAAGTTGGAACACAGAAGATTAAACCAAGAGGTTAACACCATCATGAGGACCTGCAGAGTGTGGGTACCCTCTAGAACTAAGCTGAAATTTATCAGAAAAGAATTCCACACTGAACAGATGATTCTTTTTCTAAAAAATTATGGGTCACACATTTTTATGTTCTTTAAAAATTATATTTTTATTGGCTTTATATGACTACAATTGTATTTCCCTCCAGTCTTATTGCCAGCTGCACATAAGGTTCTACCAAAAAAAGCAGTTCTAAAGGGACACATTGATATCTGAATGGGGACATGTGATTTAGAATTTGAAAAACAAGGGAGAATTTCTTAGGTTGTTCCAAGTAGAGCTGAAACAACCATGAACTTTAGAATGTGAATTAAAAAATGCTAATAGAAATGTTAATAAAATAATTAGTTTCAAACTCTAAAAAAATAAATCCTAAACTGAGCAAGAACGGCAAACTTCATTTTTCTGCGGAAGAGTGCAGGGAAAGGGCAAAGGGTTAAGTTGCAAGGAAATTCACAGGCTGAATATAAGAGTCTTGCTGGATCAGACCAAAGGCCCATCAAGTCCAGAATCTGTTTCTACAGTGGCCAATGAGATGCCTCTGGGCAGCCCACCAGGAGGACATGAAGGCAACACTGCCTTTCTCTCCCATTCGTACCTCCCAGCAGAAGCTCCTTATTTAAAGGTATTATATACTACATGAGCCTGACCAAACTGCGGGAGGCGGTGGAAGACAGGAGTGCCTGGCGTGCTCTGGTCCATGGGGTCACGAAGAGTCGGACACGACTAAACGACTAAACAACAACATATACTGCCTCTAAACAGGGATTCAATTTAGCCATCATGGCCAATTCCCATTTGTAGGCAACGACCAGCAGCGCATATTACGGCAGTGAATTCCATATGTTAATTATGAATCATTGTGATGTGCTTTATTTCATCTCTGCTGAATCTATTGCCAGACATTCCATCTGATGAGAAACTGAAAATATTAACTGAAAATCCTGCATTGCATGACTAAATTTCTTATTGCTTTCCTCCCCCACACCCTTCCCTCTCAAATCTACTCTGGAGGGTCCCCCAACTCCACTGAGCAGACTTTGAGGGAGATGGGGGACTGTGACAGTCTCATTGCACAATTGAAATCCTTGTCTATATTGGATAAAGCCCTTTCCGATTAGTAATATTTAGGTAAGAAATTCAATTTGCATGTAGAATATATATTGATAAGAGTTTAATTACTTCTTTGTGCATTTGTAGTATAATAACCTGTATCCAGTGCTTTTTTTCAGGGGAGACACAGGGGTACGCATTTTGCGAATCTAAGTTTGGTCTCATTAAAGGTAAAGGGACCCCTGACCATTAGGTCCAGTCGTGGCCAACTCTGGGGTTGCAGTGCTTATCTCGCTTTATTGGTCGAGGGAGCCGGCGTACAGCTTCCGGGTCATGTGGCAAGCATGACGAAGCCGCTTCTGGTGAACCAGAGCAGCACACGGAAACGCCATTTACCTTCCTGCCGGAGCGGTACCTGTTTATCTACTTGCAGTTTGACATGCTTTCGAACTGCTAGGTTGGCAGGAGCAAGGACCGAACAACGGGAGCTCACCCCGTCGCGGGGATTCGAACCGCCAACCTTCTGATCGGCAGGCCCTAGGCTCTGTGGTTTAACCCACAGTGCCACCCGCATCCCTTGGTCTCATTGAGGGGCAGTATTTCAATATAAGTAGGAAAATGAGAGTACCCCTAAACATATTTTTTTAGGGGAAAAAAGCACTGCCTGTACAGTATCTGCTTCTAGGATATACTGTAAATAAAAAGTAAGTTGAAAATGTCAGGAGCAGACATTTTAAGCATTTAATCATGCCAAATATTGAAAGATGGATAAGCTGGCAGTAGGGAGCATTACAAAAGTTTATTTTATGGGATACTAGCAGCTCTGTATCTGGTACTGCTCAGGAATTCTAAGAAACCAAAAAATCAGTGAAGTTTTTTAATTGGTTGTTAGAATCAGTGGTTTTGAAAAGTTCAATCCACTATCTTGATTCAAAATGGCATGTCTATTCAGAAGGAAAAACCCTGTTGCGAATAGGACTGCTGCCTAATTTCCCATGTGTGTGTTGCCTTTGCATACCAATTACTGTTTGTTCTTTATTGATTTTAAATTATGAACCACTATGGGTTGATTGGGCAGTATAAAAATGCCTAAATAAATATTTCTACATTTAACATAGCATTTTTAATGGCTGACCTATGTTCTTCACTATGTTTTAAAATCTATTTTTGTTGTATATTGCTGTAATTTTATTCTCCCCCTCTCCATGTTAGTTTAAGCTGCTTTGAACACATACAGTAGTACAGTGGTACCTTGGGTTAAATACGCTTCAGGTTACAGATTTCGCTAACCCAGAAATAGTACCTCGGGTTAAGAACTTTGCTTCAAGATGAGAACAGAAATCGTCTTCCGGCGGCGCAGCAGCAGCGGGAGTCCCCATTAGCTAAAGTGGTGCTTCAGGTTAAGAACAGTTTTTGGTTAAGCACGGACCTCCAGAATGAATTAAGTACTTAACCCGAGGTACCACTGTACCTCGCGGGTGGCGCTGTGGGTAAAACCTCAGTGCCTAAGACTTGCCGATCGTATGGTCGGCGGTTCGAATCCCTGCGGCGGGGTGAGCTCCCGTCTTTCGGTCCCAGCTCCTGCCCACCAAGCAGTTCGAAAGCACCCCTAAGAGCAAGTAGATAAATAGGTACCGCTTTATAGCGGGAAGGTAAACGGCATTTCCGTGTGCTGTGCTGGTGCTGGCTCACCAGAGCAGCTTCGTCACGCTGGCCACGTGACCCGGAAGTGTCTTCGGACAGCGCTGGCCCCCGGCCTCTTAAGTGAGATGGGCGCACAACCCTAGAGTCGGACACGACTGGCCCGTATGGGCAGGGGTACCTTTACCTTTACCACTGTACTGGAAAAATGGGGTATATTTTAAATCAATTGGATTATTTAATCTTAACTGAGCCACACAGCTCATTATTTGGTACTTTTAAAAGTATAGGCTCTTTTTTAAGTACAGTGCATATTGGAGATTTAAATAATTATAAATAATTAGCTAATGTTTTAATCATATTCAGAATGGTGTCCCGCTTTTTATTGTGCTAGTCACGATGACTGGCGGTGGCCTTTTCATATACGGATTTGGATTTTTAATTGTTCTTTTTTAAAAAAAGGGAAAAGTAGTTAGAGCTGAAAAGCAAGGGCTATTATGAGGAGAAATTTGTCATCCATCTCCCCTCTCACGGAGGTAAAACAGCCGTCTCTCTCAATAGCCAATCAGCGCGGAAGAAACTTCGCCTCAACGGTCCCCCCAAAGCGCGAGACCGGCGACCGAAGATTGAACCGGGGCACTCCGAGAGCTACACCGCGCACGCGCCATCCTCTCCCTCTCATAAAGGTCTTCCACACTTTCCCGCCTTTCCTCCGCTTTAAATTCTCCTCTTCCCTCCCCGCCTTCTGAAGCTTAGGCCACCAACCCCTCTTCGGCGCACGCGCTCCGGAAGCCCCTTTACCCCTACCTTCCGCCCTCTTCACTACCCACATTCCGAGCCACGCGTGCGCAGCCACGCCCCTCCCCGCTCTCCTTTAGATGCTTCCCACCTCCACGCTGTGCGTCAGGTGCTGTTTGGTTGTCTCTTTCTTCCCCGCCGTTTGGGGCACTGCGCAGGCGCAGTAGGGGAATAACACCCCCCCCGCCTCTTATCACATTCGCCCCCCCCGGCTTTACGGATATCTTGAGGAGACTGTAGGGGGGCTCGTTGTCGTCATCGCCATGGGAGTGAGTAAGGCCTAGATTCCTCCCGGAGTGGGTGGGGGAGCAGGAAGGGAAGGGGGGGGTCAAGATTTTTTTGGGGGGGTGAAATGGGGGGCGCTATTCTGTGGGTGGAAAGTTTTGTGTTGGGTAGGGAGAAAAAATAAAGGGGAAATCCGAAGGGGGGGTCAGTGTGGGGGTACCAAAGGAATAATAACGGGGGGAGAGCTGGGGGCGTTAATGGGAAGTTTGCTGAGTGAGGGGCTTAGGGATTGGTATTTGAGATATTAAAGTAGTTCATGGAAAAATGAGTGGGGCGGGGGTTCCTGACCCCCCTTACAGGCAGGTTGGTAGTGGTAGGATTAGGAGACTTGGGGAGGGGGATGCCAAGTTTAGAGGAAGGAAAGTAAATGGGGGACACCTGTAGGCGTGTAATAAGGCAACTAAGGTTTAATGGGGGGGCGAGGATTAAAATAGATGGTGGAAAGTGGGATAAATTGATGGTATTGGTGGTATTAAAGTAACTTGAGAGGGGCAGGTATTAGGGGGGGCGCTTTGAGTTAATGACACCCTAACACAGGTTGAGGGGTAAATCAGGGAGGGAAAGACTGGCTTGGAGAGGTGAAAGCAAGTTGGAGAAACATGTATTATGCAGGGGAAGATTTGGAGGAGGGGGGTGGTGGGGAGAAAAGAAAATTTGATGTGGGCAGGAAAATGAAAAAGTAAGAGGGAAATCCAGGGTGCAGGAGAGAGGAGGAGGAGACAAGGGGTGTTAAGATCATGATGATGGGATTTGATGGCATGGGGTCAGGTTGTGGGGTTTTGAAATGGGAAGATATAAGAGGAGATAAAAAGTTTTGTATTGGAAGGAGGTGTGAATGGAGTTAGGGCTGTGGTGGATGGGTGTGTTTTAGGCCACTTTATCAACCTGGTGCCTTCCAACTGTTTTGGACTACAACACCCATCAGACATGCTGGCTTGACTGATAGCACTTGAGAGTCCAAAACAGAGGGGGAAGCCTGGTTTGAAGTAGGGTTTAGGATGGGGGGCGGAGATATGTGGCCTTGGTGGGTTCAGTTTACAGGGGGGAAGTAATGGATAATTGCAGAACTGAAAAGGTTAAATATTTGGAAGGTTAGGCTCAATTGTCCTGGGCAGAAATATTTGGGACGGAAGAACAATAGTGGGGGTTGTCGGGCAGTTCAGCCCTATGACAATGCCCACATTCTTTTAAATCACATTTACTTTTTATTTGAAGAGGTTTTTCTGTTTAAAGCAGAACAAATAATCATTCTCCATGGAGATCTGAAGAGACCACCCATGCTAATAAAAAGGGTTTCCCTTTTAACCCAATTCAGTCCTCACACCTTTGCGTACTTCTAAAATCTGGATGGCATTGGAGGTGCTTCAAGTTAGCAAATTGAAGCAGCTTTGGCATTTGTTTGCCTTGCTGATAGGAATGGTTTTTCTTTCCCTTTCTATAGCTGGATGATCCTAGGTGTCTGAAACTCAGGGGCAGGGTGGGCTATATGTTAACCCATGAAGCATCAGTACAGTGGTGCCCCGCAAGACGAATGCCTCGCAAGACGAAAAACTCACTAGACGAAAGGGTTTTCCGTTTTTTGAGTCGTTCCGCAAGACGAATTTCCCTATGGGCTTGCTTCGCAAGATGAAATCGTCTTGCGAGTTTGTTTCCTTTTTCTTTAAGCCGCTAATAGCCGCTAAGCCGCTAATAGCCGTGCTTCGCAAGACGAAAAAACCGCAAGACGAAGAGACTCGCCGAATGGATTAATTTCGTCTTGCGAGGCACCACTGTATTATTTTTAGAAATCTAAATCAGTTTTTTAGATGCCAAGTGTTGGCAGGTGTACTTTGTCATTGTAGGAGAAGCTGCAGTTATTGGAATTCTCCTAGCCTGCTCAGCCCTTAAAGGTACAAGCACCTTCTCTCAAAACGTGTCATAGGTCAAGCTTGTCAGTCACCACTTGCCTGTTTCCCAGGGGTGCGCAAGAACTGCCTTCAGACAGCTTGACACAAACACTTCCATTAACTGGAAGAAGCCTGTTTACCTTTCTTGCTGTTGATGTGCCACAAATAACATTTAACAATATGTCATTCACATACTTACACTGCAAGGCAGAAGCAGTCAAAGAAGGGTTCATAAAATTATCTCTTCCAAGCAATCTAAAGAACCCCGTCTTCCAACATAACAGAGTAGCACCTGCAAGGGAAAAATATATATCTATTGCAGGTGCATGCCTCTTCAGGCCAGGAGATACACACCATCTATCCTTTTTTATTGTTTTGGAAGTTGCTTCAGGTCTTGCTTGTGCCAGGAAGATGCAGGCACAGCATTCTGCTCCCATCTGCTGGCAGTCTTCCTGCCCCACATTCTCCCTGCTCCGACTGAACTAGCTTCCCAGCCAATTTCATGTCGGGGGTGGGGGGAGAAGGATGTCCTTGCTTGAACTTTAGCAAGGGTGGAAGGGTTGCATTGAGGTTAGGCACATGTTTTTGGCTCAGAACCTCTGCTATTCACTGACTCACCAGCCTGGCAAAACTTAACAACACTTCATAAGCGAGTGCTTCTTTTTCTTCCTTTTTTCAAAAAATGGTGATTGTATCCAGTGTTAGTCCTATTTAGAGTAGACATTATTATTATTATTATTATTATTATTATTATTATTATTATTATTATTTATTATTTATACCCCGCCCATCTGGCTGGGCTTCCCCAGCCACTCTGGGTGGCTTCCAAAAAAATATTAAAATACTGTAATACATCAAACATTAAAAGCTTCCCTAAACAGGGCTGCCTTCAGATGTCTTCTAAAAGTCTGGTAGTTGTTGTTCTCTTTGACATCTGGTGGGAGGGCGTTCCACAGGGAGGGCGCCACTACCGAAAAGGCCCTCTGCCTGGTTCCCTGTAACTTGGCTTCTCGCAATGAGGGAACCGCCAGAAGGCCCTCGGTGCTGGACCTCAGTGTCCGGGTAGAACGATGGGGGTGGAGACGCTCCTTCAGATATACTAAAATTAATGAATATAAGGTAAGTCGTTAACTTCAATGGATCTATTCTGAGCTGGACTAGCACTGGACACAACTCAGTATTTCCCAGTCAGATTTGAACTGGTTCTTGGGACTGTAGGTGGAAAAACGAATGTAGGATAGAAAGCTGTTTCTCTAGGAAGCCTGGGTTCCTGTCTCTTTAGCACAAGATGCCCTGCAGATTTTGCTTAGTTACAACTCCTATCATCTCTGACCGCTGGCTAGCCTGGTTGGGGCTGATGGAAGTTCTATTTCAAAACCTCTAGAAGGTACCCCACTGGCTACCCTTGTTCTAGGGTTTGATGTTCCCTGTTGCTCTCAAAGCCTGCATCATAACCTCCTTACCCTCACCCACACCCTGGACAGGAAAAATCGTGATATGAGAGGAGAAATGTGACAAATGAAAAAACCCTCTGTCACCCATGAGCTGCAAGTTTCTTAGCATTTCCCTGTGTTCCCTAGCACTGCTCTTGCCAAAAGGGTGCTTTTGTTTGTTTGTTTGTGTGTGTGTGTGTGTGTTTAAACCTGCAAGCTTTAATTGGCTGAAGTGGTCAATTAATCCACAAGGTTTAGTTGAAGCAGTGAGGGGCAATATTAATCAGTGGAGCTGCAAATTGAGAGTAAGCTCTCTGTTTTTATTTTGCTTTTTTGCTCTACTAGAAATAGCTTTCCCTGTTTGGCAGCATCATTTGGTTTGACATAATCCTTAGGTTGCCAGTGTTTCATAGAACATAGGAGCCCTGGTAGCTGCCTTAAACTGAGCCAGACCATTCTGCCTGTCTCACTTAGTATTGTCTGCACCAGGAGTTCTCAAACTGGTCCACGAGCTTCATTTAAGTGGTCTGTGGAGTGTCTGTGGATTTGTAGTCAACGACAGAAACCACATGTGCATTGTGTTACATATTCACATTGCTTTGTAAAAGTATTTCAATAGCTTATTATATCTTGCATTGTTTTACACTTCGGATTCTGTGGAATACAATAAAACACAATATATAAGAAATAAAAGAAGCAGTTAAAAATACACTGTGCTAGATGCTGTATGATTTTTTAATTGTATTTTTATTGCCACCAATAAAGTTGGGAACCACTGCTCTACGCTGACTGACAGCGTGGCTCTAGGATTACAGGCAGGAGTCTCTCCCAGCCCTGGATAGCAGATGCTGGGAGATACCTGGAGAGGCTGTGGAGTGAACTTTTGTAGTCCATGTAGGGGAAGCCACGCTTAAGGCTATATACTGAGTACAACTCGGCTGCATTTACATGTTGTGCCTTGTTCTAACATCTCAGCCCTTATTCTTTCAGAGGAAATCAAGTAAAGGCAAGGAGAAGAAACAGAAACGACTGGAGGAGCGAGCAGCAAGGGATGCCATCTGTGCCAAGGTGGAAGCTGCAAATAAAGTGAGCTTTGTTTTCTCTTTCCCCTCAACATGGAGACTGAGCCTGGTATAGTGGCAACAGAGCAGCAGTTCCCTCCAGATAGTTTGGACTGCAGCTACCATCTTGCTTGACCATTGGTAATGCTGGCCAGGGCTGATGGGAGTTATCCAAAACATTAGGAGTCCACCAGGTTGGGGAAGTCTGGAAGTTCAAAGGTTAGATTCGGGTTAGAGACCCAGGTTCAAATCCCCACTTGGTTCCCTCAATGGCCTGGACCCAGTTTTCCTTATTTCTGTGCAGCACCAGCCAATTAACGCTGTCTGTCACTGCTGCCAAGATGTTGCTGCTGAATGTCAGAGACCACTGATTATAACTTATCCGCTGTTTGCTGTTCCAAAATTTCTTGGACAGTATATGCAAATAAACAGGAAGAAGTTGTTTAAAACCCCCCCAACTCCAAACACTTTCTCTCCTCCCCACTTGGAATTCATGGTGAGCTAAAAGCTAGAGAGAGAGCACTTTTCCCAAAGTGAACCCTTTAAATATTAAAAGCCCCTGAAAAATTATCTCTTTGCTTGACTGCACTGCAGACATCTATCTCTTCCTTAGTATACGCTCTTTTTTTCCATAGTTGGGAGACCCCTTAGAAGCCTTCCCAGTGTTCAAGAAATATGACAGAAATGGGTGAGTAGAAGTTCTCTGCTTTTCATTTTTGAGGCTAGAGGGATTTGAACCCACGTCTTCTTGGTCGAAGCCTTAGCACTGGCTTTGAGACTGTGTGTGTGTGTGTGGAAAGCCATGAAACGCTTGCTGCTGCTCCGTCTGGTGTTGCATGCTTCTTGCTCCTGGGACTCAGCTACAAAGTGGACTTCTATTTATGTATATTGAAACCTAATGGCTTCCGTTTCCTTTCTCTCTCTGCAGGTTAAACGTCTCCATTGACTGCAAACGAGTTTCCAGCTTGGACCCGACCACACTCGACTGGGCTTTTGAACTAACCAAAACAAACATGCAGACCTTGTAAGGCCCAAGGGGGACACTCGGGGGTAGTGGGCGGCGGTGGGGAGCTATTGCCAGCTGTAGTGGGGATGTGCAAGAGCAGGGGGGATGACTCACTTTCTTTCCCATCCCCCAAAAGTCGTATCTCCGCTTAAAAAAAAAGCATTGTGCTCCAGATATTAGAGAGCTACTGCAAGTCAGAATAGGCAATCCTGGGGTAGATGGATCAAGGGCTTGACTCAGTATTCTGTGTTTCAGAGATTCCCAACAGAGGCTGCTGTTTTGTTAGTAAGGATGATCAGTTTTTCACGACTTTTTCCTCTGTAAGGGATTCGAGGAAGAAAGAAAGTAGAACAGATTGCAGAGCCTGTCAGGCAATTGCATTGCTAACTGTCACAGAGATCTTGCAATTGTCTTGCAAACAAGCTTCTTGCCCCCTCTGATGGCTAATAGAGTTGGGTCCGCTTTGCAGAGTTTGCTAGGTAGCCATCCAGAGGTGCTGCTCAAAGCCCAGGTGGAGAAGGGGAACGGGTCCCGAACGTGCTCCGGTACCCAAGAGATTCCCTCCCTCTCCTAGGCAGCAATGCAGGCTGCTTCTTATGGTGAGTACTATCTCCAGGTGGCTGAGCTCTCCCCTAAGGAGAGGGTGTGAAGCGATTGGTTTTTATGCTCTCTTCCTCTCCGCAGGTATGAGCAGAGCGAGTGGGGCTGGAAAGACCGGGAGAAACGAGATGAGATGTCAGATGACCGTGCTTGGTACCTAATCGCTCTGGATGACGGCTCCCTTCCCGTGGCTTTCTCACACTTCCGCTTTGATGTGGAGTGCGGGGATGAGGTCCTCTATTGGTACGTCTCCTGCTAGGCACGTTCATATTTATTTTCAGGACTCTTGGAGTGCCCTCAGATTCTGCACTTCGGGAGGGCCAGGTGGATCATAGCAGAGTGGAAGGATGCACACAAGTCAAACCTGCTACAAAATTTTGCAGGGTACAGGAAAGGGGATGTGGGAAGTGGAAGCTTATTGATATCCTGTATCAGCCCAGCTATATAATAGGGGACAAAAAGCTTCCTTTATTGTGTAAATCACTACTGTTTCGATAACTAACACACAAAATGTAAGAATGGATTTAGACACTAGGAGGGAATATGTTGTTTAGTTATTACTGCTTCCTTGCTTACATTAGTGAGATCAGCACAGTACCATCCTTTGCAGCTTAAACTTGGAAACTAAGACAAGATTGATTTAACTTCTTGAAACAATAATCCAGAATGCTTTAAAATGGACCGTATTTTCCCTGGAATTACCTACCCTTTTGTCCCTCTTAAAATAACAATCGCACACACATTGTTTTGTGAAGAAATGAATGTAGGAATTAGTTACATAATCTAGGTTTCGAATCATCAGTTACAGTAGCAAGATCATCAGCAAAACTACCATCTGAGTTACAAAAGTACAAAATGTAAGTTCAAAAATGGTGAGTTCAGAGTGCAGAGTTCAGACGTATGTGTGGCCAGCTTGGAAGCATAATGAAGAAAGAGGAGTCTGCCCCAAGGAGGAAGGAAGTACATAGTGTTACAGCTTCCTGTCAAAGGCAGACAAAGGAAGAAATCTCACAGAGTTTTCTGTAGCAAATTTTTACAGGAAAGCCCTGTGAGCCTCAGCTCCTTCATGTTCCCATCTGGCAAAGCACAAATTGTTGGGTTGACTGCAGTAATGTCCCACACAAAAAAGTTAGTGTGAAGTGCTCTTGTTCAGTGCGCAGACCAGCCATGCCCTCTTTCAGGTTGCTCCTTTCCATTCTGCACCTACCCATACAACATTCCTATATTCCTTGGCTACTTGATCCTCATTCAGTTTTTTGGGGATTTATTCATTTTAGTCTCTTAAGTTTTTGTCTCTAAAGACTCCAAAAAAAAAACCTTGGGTTTCCCTGAGGAGGCTGATAACTCCAATCTTGATATATACCATCCTTCTCCATGCTGCTTCCCTTCAGATGTTGTTGGACTACAGCTCCCATCACCCTACGTCACTTGTCACACTGGTTGGGCCTAGTGAGAGTTGTATTAAAAAATGCCTGGCGGTCATCTGGTTGTGGAAGACCATATGATGCATTCAGTCCCCAGCATCTTCCAGCTTCAAGGATCAGGTATCAGGTGACAGGAGACACCTTTATCTGCCTTGGACAGCTTCTTCCAATCAGAGTAGGCAGTACTGGGCTAGATGGCCTACTCTGGTGTAGCCTTGCCTGGTATAAGACAGCTTCCTGTGTTCTGAACAGAAGCACATAAAGAACAGTCCTGCTGAATCAAGTCAGTGGCCCATCTAGTCCAGCATCCTGTTCTCACAGTGGCAGCTGGATGCCTATGGGGAGCCCACAAGCAGGACTCAAGCGCAAGAGCATCTTTCTGCCCTGTGGTTTCCAGAAACTGGTATTCAGAAAGACATTGCCTCCAACTATGGAGCATGGCCTTCAAAGCCTTATCTTCCATGAAAATCCACACAGATTTGTTGTTTGATTTATGTGTGTAAACTGCTGTGTTTATTCCAGGTGCAAAATCCAAAGGGCTGTGTTCTTGCAGCTGCCAAACTGGTGGAAGGGAAGGGGTGAACGCAACATTACAAATCAGTTGTGGCTTAAATAATCATTGTTTAGTGCTTATATAGTTCTATTTTCCTTTTACTCTGAGAGTTTGAAAGCCATTTGCATCCATTATGTCATCTGAAGCTGTGGGGAAAGACTGAATGGGGGTGGGGGTGGAATTTTGCAGCTCAGGGCAGCAATGTTTGTGGGGGGATTTCAAGGCCTGGGTGTTCTTTAATTGCATGTTGAAGCTCACCCTTTCCTCAACTCCTCAGCTACGAAGTACAGCTGGAAAGCAAAGTGAGAAGGAAAGGTCTTGGCAAATTTCTCATACAGATCCTACAGCTCGTGGCGAACAGGTAAGTGCACTATTTTTTCCTCTTCCTCTGAATTACAATTCTCTCTAGCTGTCTGAAGCTGCAGTCCTAAACATGCCCACTTGGAGTCGCTAATCTCTCCCCATTAAAAAACCCCTAACAAACCCTGAATATCTTGATACCAAGGATTGACATATAATGGCCTGAGTTGCATGGCCACCCTAACTATAGATTACCAGGTTCGTGCAAGCATGCAGGTTTCCAGACATAAGCTTGCTGCTGCTGCTTTGCTTGTTCCTGCTCTTTTTTACTGCCACTCCAAGGTTTGGCTTAGTGTGTTATCTGAACTGGGACTCAAGCTTAGTGAGAGGAGAGAGCTTAACCTTGAGCTGTTGCCAGGGTTTGTGCTCAAAACAACTGGGGAGAAGAAAAGCAGCTGCACAGTTTGAACTTGCTGTGCTGTTGTCTGAACCAGGCCAGTGTGAATTCAGATGGTTCTGTTTTTAACCTCTTAACCATATCCAGCTAAATTCTACCCAGCTGAAATTCATGATCCTAAATTACTCCTGTCTATTAACTTCAGGGGGTCTACTCTGTGTAGAACTAGCGTTGTATACAACCCTCTGCATGTTGTATGTATCAAATTAGGCATTTTTATTTTGCTTGCATTAAAATACAATAAAAAGGACACTGCAACGAATTTAGTGTGGACCAGAACTGGAGCCTTCTGAAGACCTTGGGTGATGAAATTCCTCAGCAGCACCCTTCCCTAAATCTTCAACAATCCCTTCTGACACCTTTTTGAGCTTCCTTTGGTAGTTGTAAAGACTAGTGTTGGGATAGGGAAACCTGTGGCCCTCCAAATGTTGCTGGACTCCAGCTCCCATCAGCCCCATCAGAGATTATGGGAGTTGGAGTTCAACAACATCTGCAGGACCACAGATTTCCCATCCCTAGGCTACAATCTCGCTTTAATATAATCATCGGCATCATCTGATTTGCACATAACAGGTGTGTGAGCGCGCAAGATAATTGCTCCCAGATGAACGTGCAGCTATAAACTGCTGTCGTGCTAGCTAGCTTGCTGTGCTCTTTGAAAATGTCTGGATTTTAAAACCTAGGATTGTACCCAGTGAAGTCCTACTGTGAGTAGGCACACTGAAATGAGTAAACCAAAGTTGATCAAGTCCATTCTTTTGAATGAGCCCTACTCAGAGTAGACCATCATTGGGTACAGTCATTAGATTATGCTCTCTGTTTTAATTAGTACTGTGTTAGCTCTGCTAAAACTTGGCAGTTGTCTGGAGGATCCAATTCTATAACAAATGCACTTTCAAACTTTGGCTTAAGAGAAGATGGCCATCCCCAAATATACAGACACGTGGGTGTATTTATTTGATAATTTCAATTTTTACATGGGATTGGAACAATTTAAATTAGACTACTGTGAAAGTGCAAGGAACTTTGTTTGGCTTTTGCTTTCTTTCTTGTGACCTCATACCAAGCTGACCTTGTCTTCTCCCTGCCTCTTAGTACACAGATGAAGAAAGTCATGTTAACAGTATTTAAACACAATCATGGGGCCTACCAGTTCTTCAGAGAAGCTTTACAGTAAGACTTCATTTACTTCTTTTTTGCTCACCTGAAGTAGAGACCAGAAGAAGATGGGTTTGGGGAGATGCCCCTCTCCTACCCCTGTGAGTCAGAGGTGATAGTTGGTTATTGGACTCTCATTGGCCAGGGATGTGGTCCTTCAGATGTTCCTGGACTCATCATCCCTGACCTCTGGCCATGCTGGCTGGGGTTGATGGGAGTTGGAGTCCAACAAAATGTAGAGGGCCAGTGGTTCCCTGTCCCTCTCTGAGCAAAGGGCGCAGAGCCCTTTTCAGAACAATATTCCTTGATGGCTAACCTTCTGGGAGACCACATGCCGGAGGTGGGTGGGGCCAAAGCAAAGTGGGTGCGCCCATATATATCCTATACATCCACACACCTAGTCCTTCCCTTCCCAGCTACAGTCTCCAGGCAGATCATCCATTTTTCCTGCTTCCTTTCCTCCTTCAACAATGGAAAGAAAGCTCCCACTGGTTCCCCCCGGTCTAATTGCTGGGTGGAGATGAGACCAGGAGAGGAGGCCTTGCAGGTCCGAGGTTCCCCACACCTTTCTTAGGCCAAGGGCAGCAGGCACTGTTCAACAACAGCACAAACTACCAAATAACTCCAGCTTCCCACAAGATATTGTGATGGCCTGGACCAACTTGGAAAGCTTTGAAACGGGACTAGAGCAATTCATGGAATAAGAGCAATTCATGGAATATAAGGCTATTAGTCACAGTCTTCCCTCCACTGTCAGAGGCAGTATGCCTATGAAAATCTTTTGTTGGGGACCACAAGTGGGGAGAGTTGCTGCTGTTCTCTGATCTTGATCACAGGCTCCCCTTTGGGACATCTGCTTGGCTACTGTAAAACAAGGATCCTGGGCCTTTGGTCTGGTCAGCAGGGCTTTCCTCACATGTTTTGTTTTCTTCTGATGCTGCCCTGTTTCTACAAATAGACTCTTCATGCAATCAGTTGCTTGTGGAGACCACACCAAGGGGCCAGGCCAGCTCCAGTTGCACAGATGTGGCTGCATTTTAAGCATTGATGCAAATGCCACCTGACACTTTTCTCTATCTCCTCTCCTCCTCCTCCTTCACCACCACCACTTCTGCCCCTGCAGGTTTGAAATCGATGATACCTCACCCAGCATGTCTGGCTGCTGCGGGGATGACTGCTCTTACGAGATCCTCAGCCGGAGAACAAAGTTTGGCGAGAGCCAGCACGCTCACCTGGGTGGTCACTGCGGAGGCTGCTGCCATTGAGGTTGTCCTTCACTCCTGAGAAAGAACCCTGCTCTCTCCACACAACCCTGCCTTTCTCTTTGGTTTCCATTGCCTGATCCTGCCCCCCACTTCCTCCATTTCTTGGTACACCCCCAAGCCAGGACAAACAAGACTCCTTTATTGCATCCTGAATCCCAGGATGGAAGATCTTCCTCCGTACGGGAGGCTCTGGGAACCAAAGTCATGCCTAAGTCTCAGACCTAGTGCTAGATCTTGCATACTTACAGTCTTGATCCGAAGGCATGAATCTGGGCAGCAGGGTTTGCTTGCTTATTTGTTAAGCTCACGCTGCTGCAGTGAAGAAATAGTTAAATCCCCAATTGAATGGTGGGGATAGCTCTCTCCCTCCAAGCTGAAGAGGTGCAGGGAGTGAGTTTTACAGAATCCTTATTGGAGTAGCAGATCTAGAAACGTGACCTTTCCTCACCTGCATTGATCTGTGCCTCTCCTTTCTTCGGTCGTTACATTGGACTGCTGTTTTGCCACAAAACTGCAATGTGTATCAAATTGGATGTGGTCCCCTGCATGGGCTACCTGGGGAAACCTTGTCTGACTCCATCCTGTTGCTTGGATTTCTCCTGGGTGTATGTTGCAGCCACCTGTTGTTTTTTGGTTGATGGGGGGAGAGGGGAGGGGAGGAGAAAAGATTTGTACAGGTTTTAGAATCATACCCTGATTAATGTTCTGCATTGATCATGCCTGGAGCACTTCCCTTTTGTTTATACGTGGGGGGTGGGGGAAATATTGATGCCGATGTTCTGCTTCAGCAGTTTGCTGCTGGCGAGTCCCATATGGCTGTGTCCTTAGAGGACCTTAGAAGCCAAATCAAGCTATCAGTGACCTACACAGGTGATTTTCTGCGCACAGACAAACCACCTGGAGAAAACTTGCAAGAGTTCTAAGCAATGATATCTGAATTTGCTATTCCTGTGTCCAAAAGGCTGAGTTGAAGGAAGTGTGCAAGAGATTTATTTTTTTCAAATGCTATTAACATTTTTGTTTGTTCAGGGCCCTTCACCCTTTTGAGTCTTTGGGAAACAGGCAGCTCTGGCATTTCTGAATCCTTTGTAGCGGGGGGAGTAACCTGTGGCCCTCCAGCTGCTGTTGGTTTCCAGCTCCCATCAGCCCCAGCCAGCATGGGCAGTGGTTGGGGAGGATGGGAACTGGAGCCCAAACACCCATCTTGAAAACTATAGGTTCCTCATCCCTGCTGTATATTATGAAGCGAGGATGTTCTGGTTTGGGTTTTTCTTTAAAGATGTTCTTGAATGCCTTGGCTTTGCATTGATGCTTCATCATCAGAAGGGACAGCCTTTGCCTTCAGTTAATTGTCTTGAGTTGCCAGCTTTTTAACACAGTGTAGTGTCGTTTTCCCATCTTTATGTCTTGCTGTGCAGAAATGACATCTTACTCCCTTCTTGCCTCAGTGAGGTGTGTTGGTGTGTACAAGCTTCATTTGAGGTGTTGAGAATTGACCAGCCAGGTCCTCCTGCTGCAACTGTCAATCACTGGCCTGGCCCTGCTCTTCCCACCAGGCTTCCTTAGCAATCGAGGCTGCAACATAGCAGAAGTTTTGGGAAGAGAGTGGCTGTTGGTTGCCAGGCAACCGCCAATAGCTTTCATGAGTCCCAAGTTCTGTCGTTGCATGCTGCACCAGGCCCTGCTGACAACTGCCTGGGTCGTATTTCCCAGTGTTGGTCCTCCTCTGCTGTAGCAATGCTGGTGGTGCAAGTGATCCATCCCATAACTCCCCTTTGCTCAAAATGGAGCCTCTTGCACCAGCCGCACAACCTCAGGACCTCACTTCTGTCTCAGGGTGTGCCTCTTTGCCTTTTTCTGGTTCCCTCTGAAGGGGTGCAAAATGGGTGCTCCTACTCTTGAGCCTTTAAATGCCTGAACTCGGGGTGGCCAGTGTGAGTGCCCCTCCCCCAGATGTTGCTGGACTCCACCTCCCATCAGCCACAGCCAGCATGACCTACAATCAGGGAGGATTATTCAGCAACATCTGGAGAACACCATGCTGGCTTTCCCTGGCCCCAAGCCTCTTTTTTAAGAATTAAAAATTGCCCTGCTACTTGAATTGCATCTTACCAAATGGAGAGATTGCCAGTGGTTTTCCCTCTCTTGGAGATTGGATCGGACCCCCACAAGTTCATACTTAGATTTTTGTAGAAATGCATTGTCTACAGCCAAGGAGTGAGTTGCATGCAGGCTTTTGTGTGTGCGTGTGGATCATTCAGGCTGCAGAATCATTCAGGGCTGGAGCAGCGATGGCCAACGTTGTGAGCATCTGGGGATCAGATTTTCCAAGATTGATCTGCAGGCGGGGTACAAGTGGATCTCACCACTGTGTCTTCTCACTCCTGGCTGCAGAATTGACAGGGACAAGAGTGCCTGCATGGTGAGACAGACAGGCAAGCTGCAAGTCTCAGACTGTTTCTTAGTTTGCACCCCTTCTCCCTGGAGAAACTCGCTTTGCTTTCAGTTGTCAGCACTGGGGAAAGGCTCATGGACCAGTGATAACTTGAGAGCATTGCAAGCACTGCTTTCAGTCAGTCTAACAGGCATCTCCCTACCCCTTGCTGGAAGTGATGGAGACTCAGCCAGGAGACCTCTGAATGAGCTTGGTGCCCGTTCTGCAACCTCTCATTTATCAAGGGGCAGTTAAAGCTACAGAATAGGCAGCAATGTGCCACAGACTCTATGGCAGGGATGAGGAGCATGTGGCCGTCTGGATTTGGTTGGACTCCAACTCCCAACAGCCCCAGGTATGCGTGGTCACTGGTCAGGGCTGGTGGGAGTTGTAGTCCAGTAACACATGGAGGACCTCAGATCCTGCTGTGCAACGGTTTTGGGATGTGGCACTGCCACTTCCCACCTCCCAGGAAATGTGTGCCTTCTAGATACAAAGTGATGAAAAAGTGCAGTTGTGGCAGTGGGTCCAAATGCCGCCTGTGGGGGAGGATAGACCACTCAGGCAGGCTGGGCGCCCTAACTGAAGGGGCGCTCACTTTGCTGGGGGTAGCACACAATTTTGAGCACTTGCTGCTTCCAGAACACTTGGCTCCCCTGCGTGGGTTTGGCATGTCTTTCTCCCATGTGGCAGTAGGAGGCTCTTCAATGCACTCTCCTGTTTGTGCAGGAACATGCCGCCCTGGCCTAGAGCAACAAGAGACGCAGAATTCAGCCTTGTGTGGCTGTCTTTAATCTAATCTGCTCCATTGTGAGCAGGACCAAGGCAAAGAGAGCTATTCCGCTCCCCTCTCTTGGATGGGGCATCTACTCATCATAGCAATGTTCCCCCCTGAAAGTTTGTGGACTCAACTTCACTCTTTGGCATGACCATGTCATCCTGGTCTCACATAATCGCCTGTAGCAGGGTGTAGAAACAAATGGGCCTCATTTAACACAAAACAATCCCTTTTTTTGTTTAAAAAACAACCATGTTCCTTAGATAAGCCCCTCTTGCTTTTTTTTAAATTATTAAGAAGGGGAAAGTTGCTATCGTGTTCATTTTTGTTTTGTTTGATATGCTAGGGACAGTCTCCGAAGCTTCTAGCTCTTTTGGACTTTTTGAACAGTAGATAAGCTAACAGTTCTCTGGATATTACCTCCCCATAGCAAAAATCCATTGATAATTGCAGTTTGCTATATTAACCTTTTGTTTTTGTTACCTTATACGTGGATCTCTTTCCGTATTCCAAAGTATCAAGAAAAGGTGGTTGAGTGTGGCTAACTCTCACTTGTATTTTTATTTGCCCCCCGCCCCCCGCCCCCAAAATCTGGCATGCTTTGTAATATTAAGTTGTAAACTCTGCACTGTATACTTCTATGTATCTAGTGTCCTTTTTGCCCCCTTCATTTGCCCTCTTTATTTTGTGGTTTTTTTGGGGGGGGGGGTTGTCCCCCCAAAAGTTTTTAGAATAATTTTCTATGGTAATTACATTTCTTGGCAAATATTTTCACCAGAATCAAAGGGAACAAGCTGACTTTTTAATTTTGGTATTTGTTTTATTCATATGTTTGAAAATAAACATTTTCTTCAGTCTCTAGCTATGTGTGTTTCTCAAATGTCTCAAGTGTACAAATCCTGGGATGTTTGGAAACAACCTGGCCCTTCCCCCTACGGTTTTTTAATAAGCGCTCATTAGTTCAGCCATCTGAGCAGTTTCCATCCTTTCCCAAGGATGAAAGGCCATTAAAGACCACTTGATTCCTTTATATTCCCCCTTGATCACTGATATTCAGGGAAGACTGTTAGTGGCTCAGATGCCCAGCTCAGAAGCTGTGCATTCAGTACTGTGGTCCCAACTCTGTGGAACTCTGAGCTGAGATGAGACAGGCCTTAGCAGACCAGAAGCTGAACGCAAGTCAACAGTGTGATGCCGCAGCAAAAAAGCTAATGCAATTCTAGGCTGCATCAACAGAAGTATAGTGTCCGGATCAAGGGGTGCAATAGTACACTTTATTCTGCCTTGGCCAGAACCCCATCTGGTGTACTGCGTCCAGTTCTAGGCACCACTTAAATGGTTTTCTGCCTGTTGCATCAAGTTTCATGTGCTGTGCTAGATACTGTACGATTTTCAGCTGCAGTTTCATTGCTTCCTTTCTTTCTTGTCTTTTAGTGTATTGCAGTTTGAATTCCATAGAATGTAATACACGTATTCCACGTAATGCAGTAAAACGTAATATAAGAAAGCAGGGGAGCAATAAAAATACCTTTGCAAATCAGTACTGTATACATATAGAATGCGATGGATGTGCTATCTCCTTTCTTCAACCACAAGGCCACAGCAATGCCACAGACCACCTGAATGAAGCACACAGACAACAGTTTGAGAATCCCTGGTGTAGTGGTTCAAGTGTTGGAGCTGGAAGCTAAAGGTTCTAATTCCTGGGCATCCATAAAGCTCATTGCTGGAATAGATAGGCCACTGGCCTGATCCAGCAGCGCCCTTCTTATGACTGACCTTTGGTACTATGCACCTTGACAGGACCGGCCCATTTGCTGCTTCACTTCAAGTAGGAAAACATCTTGGGCCAGTCTTGTGAATGCCCCAGAAGACTCTGAGCCACAGTATTCTACTGTAAAACTGCTTTATTCTTTAAGGTTTCAGGAAGGAGAGAGAAAAGAGGGAGTAATGACAAATACTCAAATTTGAGGCACTAGCACCATATGTGGTGGTGCAGAAGGGATGATTCCATGGAAATAAGACCCTGAGGAGCAGAAGAGCCTTCTGCAAATATTTTTTTCCATTATACTCATGAGTAGACCTCTCAGCGCTGGGGTTAGGTGGGCAGTCAAGAGGAGGAATGGCTCTTGCAGTGTGAGCCAATGGCATAAGCACCACCATGAAATCTGGGAGGAAGGGACAGCAGCTGGAACCTGAAATGGAGAAGCCAGGGAGGGTAATGAAGAGACGTTTTAGAAGCACTTCCTGTGGACAATGGATGGCCCGGCTTCATCATACTCTTGCTTGCTGATCCACATCTGCTGGAAAGTGGAGAGGGAAGCCAAAATGGAGCCGCCGATCCACACAGAGTACTTCCGCTCCGGAGGAGCAATGATCTAAAGGGAGCAAGTGAGAAAGTTAACCAGGGGTGGATGATGCCTTACTAGAGCAGGTTACCAAACATTCAAAAAGGAGAGAAATAGTAATCGGGGGATTTCCAACTTCCCCGATATCTGTTGGGACTCAAGCTCTGCCATAAGTGTAAGGTCTGACAAATTCCTCCATTGCATCGCTGACAATTTCATTTCCCAAAAGGTGGGAGAACCAACAAGGGGATCATCGGCACTACAATTTAAGAAGGATGTTGACAAGCTGGAAGGTGTGCAGAGGATGGTAGACTCAAACCAATAGCTTCAAGTTGCAAGAAAGGAGATTCCGACTAAGCATTTGGAAAAACTTTCTGACAGTAAGAGCTGCTCAGCAGTGGAACAGACTCCTACGAGAGGTGGTGGACTCTCCTTCCTTGGAGGTTTCTAAATACAGGGAGAAAACAAGTATGTTCCCTCCTCCATGTGACAGCCCTTAAGATATTTGAAGATAGCTATCATACCTCCTCTCAGTCTCCTCTTTTCCAGGCTAAACATACCCAGCTCCTTCAAGTGCTCCTCATAAGGCTTAGTTTCCAGACCCTTGATCATCTTGATTGCCCTCACACACACACAAATAACCCAGTAACTTCTGAATCTATCACAGCTTTCCTCTTACCTATCTGTTGGAACGGAATGCCAAATGTTAATAATTCTGCTGTCTTATTTGCCAGTCTCACCTTGATCTTCATGGTGCTGGGTGCCAAGGCGGTGATTTCCTTCTGCATACGGTCAGCGATGCCAGGGTACATGGTGGTGCCGCCAGAGAGCACGTTGTTGGCATACAGGTCCTTACGGATGTCAATGTCACACTTCATGATGGAGTTGTAGGTGGTTTCGTGGATGCCTGCAGACTCCATGCCTGGGTTAAAAAAAAAAAGAGCAAGATTGCAAAATCTGGGGAGCAGGGTATATGGCTAATTTAATGCTAATTGACTATATTTGGCACAAAAGGATGTATCCTTAAACAGAGGTACATCTTTACCCTGACCTTTGACACCTGAGGTGTGTATTTTCAGGAACCACCTTGTTTTTTTGTGATACCAAGTTGCCTTAAACTGTTTTTAATGTTGTATTTTTGTCTTTGTCCATGAAGTTTTCTTGGCAGGAATACTGGAGTGGCTTGCCAGTTCCTGCTCCAGGTGGATCACGTTTGGTCAAAACTCTTCACTATGACCTGTCCATCCTGGGTGCCCTGTATGTGCCATACATCAGTAGTGATGTATGGAAGTGAGAGCTGGACCGTAAAGAAGGCTGATCGCCGAAGAATTGATGCTTTTGAATTATGGTGCTGGAGGAGACTCTTGAGAGTCCCATGGACTGCAAGAAGATCCAACCTCTCCATTCTGAAGGAAATCAGCCCTGAGTGCTCACTGGAAGGACAGAGGCTGAGGCTCCAATACTTTGGCCACATCATGAGAAGAGAAGACTCCCTGGAAAAGACCCTGATGCTGGGGAAGATGGAGGGCACAAGGAGAAGGGGACGACAGAGGACAAGATGGTTGGATAGTGTTCTCGAAGCTACCAGCATGAGTTTGACCAAACTGCGGGAGGCAGTGGAAGACAGGAGTGCCTGGCGTGCTGCTCCATGGGGTCACGAAGAGTCGGACACGACTAAACAACAAAACAATGTTGCGTTTTAAATTGCTGTAAACTGCCCTGGGACCTCAGGGTGAAGGGCTGGCAATTAATGATAATTCTGCACGTGACAGGCGTGGTTGTATTCATTCTGAGAGCCAATCTTGCTCAGCCTTGCATTTAACTACCATGCCTGGTCACCACAGGCGACAAGTAATTCTGTGCAAGCGAACAGGCTAGTGGAGGAGGGATGGATCAGCCTGGCCTCCACAGCCAGAACAGAAACCGTGGAGGCTGTCAGCAGACGAGAAGCAGAGAGAGCTAGCCTAGTAGAAAACAAACAGGAAAAAGCAATTGCCAAGAGGCTACTAAAAACAACAACACTCAAAGACCTCCCAGGAAGTGCCTTTATTAGGGCAATTGCTAAGTTGCCTAGTTTTAAGCAAGTTTTATTTTTATTTTTTTCCGGCTCCTACGGACCTTGTGAGCTCCCATTAGGGCTAGAGGCAGAACACAGTATCTTCCAGATTTGATTTTAATAAGGTGAAACAGCCCATACTGCTGCTTTGTCATGCTAGTCCCGGGTACATCCTGCAATCTCTTCTGCACCTGGTGCTGCAAGGCCGGAAGAAGTTTGAAGAAAGAAGGGCTGGGAGATCTTTTAAAGTGAGGAGACCCACAGAGAAGAATCCTTCACCAAGGGCAAAAGTCAAAGGATTTTGTGATGGCCTCAAGTTACAGCAGCTGCTTAGCAGGAGGTCATGCTTCCCCCTCCATTTAGGAGAAGGAGGATACTATCCTGGAATTTTGCCGCTTCCCTGCCTATTTTTGGGGTAGAAAAAAGAGCATCGAAGAGCCCTGTCCTGGCGCGATCAGCTGTTCCTCTCCACCCGCTGCCAAAGCCTCGGCCCTAATCCGTAAGTGGAATGCGTCTACCTGATACCCCTCTCTCTGGTCAAGGCTGGTATCATCGAGACGCCCACCCTGGGCTCCCTGCACTTCCTGACGTGTGTCAGTAAACGTTTTCGCCATCAGTAAAACCAGTGTGACATTTCTGAGCAGTCTCAAAGGAGAAGACTGACCTTTTTGCCACTGACATGCCTTAACCCCTCACACATCTCTCAATTGCCGCCCCAGCCAGCAAGCCTCCGCTTGATGACATTTGCAGAAGCTCCCCATCCCTCACCTATGGCTGCAGCTGACTTCTCAGGTACTCCAAACCCCTCGCTCTTCCAGAACAAGCCTACCAGTTGCAGATTACCCTGCCCCACCTATAAGCCCCATGGTTGGGTCAGTCTGTGGGACCTCCAAATGCTGTTAGACCCCCAACGCCCTTCAGCCACAGCCACCAGAGCCCATGGTCTGGCATAATAGAAGCTGTGGGGCAGCAGTCTCCGCTAGAGAGGTCTCCTGTGCTCCTGCTCTTACTTTCTCACCGATAAACGAGGGTTGGAAGAGGGTCTCTGGGCACCGGAAACGCTCGTTGCCAATGGTGATGACTTGCCCATCAGGCAGCTCGTAGCTCTTCTCCAGGGAGGAGGAGGAAGCAGCGGTGGCCATCTCGTTCTCAAAGTCCAAAGCCACGTAGCCCAGCTTCTCCTTGATGTCACGAACAATCTCCCGTTCAGCTGCGGGGAGGCAGGAAGGATTTGATCCATTAGAGGAAGCCCACAGCTTGGAAGAACTGGTTCTGTCGCTCAGCTGTAGGCTCCATCTGCACTCAAGATTTAAAGCACTATCATACCGCTTTGAACAGTCGTGGCCCCACCACAAAGGACCCTGGGAGCTGCAGTTTGTTATGGGTGCTGAGAAGCGCCAGGAGACTCCTTTTTTATGATTTTCAGTTTTATACATTTCAACAATTTTACAATCATT